CGGTGCTTCTTCACGTTGGCACTGGCGCTCCTGGCCCGAAACAGGCAGCAGGTGTGTCTGGGGACGAAGCAGACCCGAAACAGTGCTGAGACAGGATCTGGGGCTGTGGGCACGGGTCTGGCACTTCTCCCCTTGAGTGGTCTCCCTTGCCTCTGCTATAGAGAGAGGGCACATGGCTGCCTGGCCACTCAAGCACTCAAGCATGCACAGGCACAGATGCAGGTGTGTCTGCTGATACCTCCTGGGCAGGTGGATTTCTCGCATGCTCTTTCTCCCTCTCTCTTGCTTTCTCACTCTCGCCCTCACCCTCTCAGGTAGTCTCGAGGCTACACTAGCCTTAACGTGGGTGATACGCACACAGCTTACGTCCTGTACCGTGTGGCCCCTCCACCTCCACCACTTCGCTTCTCTTCCCAGACCAAGTGCTGAAACCCATTTCTCTCAGCCCTGCCCTGCTGACTGGAGCACAGAATCCTGGGTGGGTGCTGGTGACAGCGCACTAGACTGTGGGCCCAGGCGATGCTCCTGCCCCTGCCTCCTCCCTTTTGGTGATGTCTACACGTGGCTGCTCCTTCACCTGCAACCCCTGTGTCTCCAGGTGGCCATGCAGGGAAGAGTTCATAAGCCGGGGTTGCTCCTGCCCACAGCAGCAGCTCTGTGTCTGCTGGAGAGCAGAGATGTTGCGTCTGGCACAGGAGGGAGGCTGGGCTGCTTCTCGGACCTCTTGGCTCTTTATGCTTCAGTTGGTGATCTGATTTCTAAGCGTGTGAAATACAATCTGGCCCGAGAAATGTTCTATTTGTTAAGCGTCCATTGGGTGACTCTGCCGTACCAGACACATTGACAGTGGCAGAATCTCCGCGAAGAAGACAGACAGCCCTGTGCTCACAGAGCTGACCTCTGCCTGTGAGCTACTGAAACAAGTGTTCAAGGCGACGCAGCGTGTCACGAGGTGTGGGTGCTGTGGAGAGGGCACGGCAGGGGTGACGGTGGCTGGCATGTGTCGCCTGTCAGCTCGTGCCTGGGTACTTGTTTGGTAAGCACTGGACATCACTGTTGGCCTGGTGCTCTCCAGAGCAAGGCAGTGGGCGTGGAGCAGAAGGCTCTCAGGCTGCTCAGGTTCCTCATTCATCTCCAGGATCCACCGATCTCCCACCTTCCCTCCCTCCCACCCCACCCCTCGGCTTTTTGAAACAGGGTTTTTTCTGTGTAGCCCTGGCTGTCCTGGAACTCAGGCTGGCCTCGAACTTCTAGAGTTCCTCCAGAGTTCTAGGATAAAAAGTGTGCACCAGTACACTCATCTTTCCATAGGAGTCTTGTGGTGTATTCTGTGTTGCATGTTCAGTGTGGGGCTGTGGCAGCTGTTCCAGGCCTCAGCCCTCTCCTCAGCTTGAGACGCCCCAGACCCAGCCTGTCAGACTGTATATAGCGCACAGACGAAGGATTGAGTTGTGGTTTTTAAAATCTTTAAAAGGAAAAATCAATATCTTGGGCCACATGAAAATCTGTTTGGGTGAGTGTGGTTTCATTGGCACGCATGATGCTCTTCCCTGCCAGTTCCCACGCCTGGTGCTTTCTCACTGAGCTGTGCAGTGGGCACTGGGACAGATGGGTAGCCCTGAGGAGCTGGCTGGCTCCACAGGAGGTGTTGGGCTGTAGTGCTCAGCCTGGGGATGGGAGCCGGGATAGGGAGGGGAGCCGAGGTGTCCAGCCCCAGGGCTGTCTCAGCGGGTGTGGGTGATGGATTTCACATGCTTGGTTATTTCCCCGACCGGTGAAATTGCACGGAATAACAGACCGTTGAAATTGCACAAGTAACAGTCTCCTTCGACCCTGAAAGCCCAGGCATCAGCTAGCTTTCCAGGAGCCTCTTCATCCCCAGGGCTTTACAAGATTCTCAGGAAAGCTCTGAAGAGCCTGCCAGGCCTGCTTCCCCTCCCTCCCACTTCCCAGTCCGGGCTGGAGGCCTCCTCCTTCCCCTCCCTCTGATGAGAATGTACTGGGCTGTGGCCTCTTGGAAGCCACGGCTGCAAGCCCTGCTGCTCCCTACGGGTGGCTCTGGCACATTCTGCTGCCCGCCCCCCTCCCGTCCCCATGCCAGGGGACTGCAGGCTGCCAGTTTGCATGTGTGAGGGTCTTGCTGGTCTTCTCCTGCCCCTCCCCCTTCTGCCCCAGAAGCAGAGGGCTGACAGGCCATGGCCTGGACTGAGTACTTCAGGTAAAGACCACACGGCACTGCAGAGGGGCAGTGGCCTCTGGCAGCTAGCTCACGGGACGCTGGGGCTTCTTGAGTACCTGCTGCCTCACTGCACACGTGTGTCCCGGGGCTCCTTTGCTCAGTCTGTCTGGTGGTCTGAAGGGATGGGCTATTTCCCGGCTTCCTCAGCAGGCATCATGGGAGGGGGGCTGGAAGTTCCTGCATGGAGACATGGACATTGGTGTCTCTTGCTGAGTGCCTGGGCTTTGAGGAACTGGACTCCAGGTCCATCAGTGTTTTCTGCCACCCAGACTCTAGAAGAGATTTCCAAGCCTCCATCCCACGCTCTGCAGCCGTTTCATATCTGAGAGCAGGGCACCTGGGCAGAGGTTGGCCAGAGAAGACAAGTAACCCCTTGTTTGACTTCCTGAGTCATATCAGACACTCTGTGGGGGCAGCAGAGAGCCTCCCCCTCACACAGGTCAGGAGGTGTGTGTCCCTTCAGTGGCTGCGCCACCTGGTACGCTGCGGTCACCACACCCCTGTCCACTCAGTGCCGTGCTGGAATGCACAGCCCATCTGCATGGGATGGCTGCTTCAGTAGGCACATGGCCCTCTTGCTGACTGCATTTTGGGCTTTCCCGACAGCTCACTTGTACCAAAGCCATTGGCTCTTTGGGTTCTGCCTGTGAAGTGTTTCTCCCTTTTGCCTGTTTTTCAGTAGCCAACATTTTCTTGATTGCTTTTGAGTTGCGCATAGCATCTAGGTGTGAGCTGCTGAGGTGGATGAACTAGAACAACCCTCCCTGATGTTCACATCCTTCCCTGGGGCCTAGAGTGTTTTCCAGCAAAATGTGTCTCCCCCTACACACACGGTCCTGTTTGTTTTGTTTTGTTTTTTTCTTTCTTCACCATTCTGATGTAACCCAGATTAACCCATAATTCTCAAACTCAGTTCTCCGGCCTCAGCTTCCTGAATGTTGCTGTTGTACCAGCTTCCATCCATTTCTCGCATGCCAGCACATCCTCTGTCCTATCTGTAACGTCGCCACCATTGTGCTGTGAGGACAGTAATGTGCCCTCACACTCACTCTCGTCCTTACCTTTGGGGGCTGGAGAGATGGCTGAAGAGCACCCGCATGGTGGTTTGCAGCTATAACGCCATTCCAGGGAATCCAGCAGGTACTCAAGAAGCCCCCCCTCACCTCCATGGGCACCAGCCACTTGTAGAATCCACATAGGCCTGCAGGCAAAGCAGTCGTAAAATAAATCAATCTTAAGGTCCTTAAGCCTAGCCTTTTACATCTTGCCTTGCCTTCTCTGGAGCTGGCATGTGCATGGAGTGACAGGTAAGGCCATGGGGCATTCTGCCCACCCTCTCTCTGGTGCCACTAGTCACAGTCAGTGCTTTGGAACATGTTGGGGTGCCTGCTAGAATCAGCCATTGCTCTCCTGTGGTTGTCATGGCTTGGGGAAGCAATGACGAGTAGGTGTTGCTTGTGGGCACTGTTAGCTGTGGGAACCAGATTGAAGTCTGTGGGAACTCTCCTTTTTGTAGTCAGAGTTCTCTGTAAAGCCATCTTGTTCAATTCTGCCCTCCCCCCCCCCCACAGACCTATTGCAGAGAGGAATAGATGACAGGCCTCACAGGGATATAGGATAGGTATCATGAGCCTGTTCATTCAGGGACTGCACCAGGAGTCATTGGGTGGGGGGCAATTGTGAATAGAACCCAGGTACTATTACTGGGTACTATTACCAGGTACTATTAACACATACTAAACAAGTGTTGCAGGGCTGACTGAGCCACACCCAGCCTCTGGGGGTTTCTAGGCAGGTGCTCTACCACTGAGCCACACCCCAGCCCCTCACTGGGGGACTCTAGGCAGGGGCTCTACCACTGAGCTACACTCCAGCCCCTCACTGGGGGATTCTAGGCAGGTGGTCTGCCACTGAGCCACACCCAGCCCCTCACTGGGGGATTCTAGGCAGGGGCTCTACCACTGAGCCACACCCCAGCTCCTCACTGGGGGATTCTAGGCAGGGGCTACATCACTGAGCCACACCCCAGCCCCTCACTGGGGAATTCTAGGCAGGGGCTACATCACTGAGCCACACCCCAGCCCCTCACTGGGGGATTCTAGGCAGGTGTTCTACCATTGAGCCACATCCCAGCCCCTCACTGGGGGATTCTAGGCAGGGGCTCTGCCACTGAGCCGCACCCCAGCCCCTCACTGCTGGGTTCTACTTAAGTGGTGAACCACTGAGACTCATCTCCAGTCTTTTTTGATTGATTGATTGATTGATTGATTGATTGATTGATTGATTGATTGATTGATTGAGACAGGTTCTCACCAAGTAGCCCAGGCTACCCTTGCCCTCACTGTATGGCCTTAACTGGCCTTCTGCTTGCAATCCTCCTTCCTCAGCCTATGGTTTAGCTGGTCTTACAAGCCTGTGCCTCTTGTCTCTTCTGGAATTTGGCATTGAATTTCATGTTTAGGTAGAATGAGCATGGGATTGGTGTGGTTGGAGCACCTATGGTAGCCAAAGGAGAGGAAGACTGTTTGGCTTTTTTTCTCTACCAGTTCAGTCCACTGCACTGTAAGAGATCAGAACCCAGGTTGGTAACAGTCTCACCTGCACACATTGTACAAGGGTGCTGAGGCGGTTGTCACAGCAGCTGCCACACCACACCCTGTGCTCCACCCAACGCTCATCATCAAGTTCCTCCTGGCTTTTGCTCTGTGTTTTGAGCCCCTCACCCACCTCCAGTGAGCCTGCGCTGTGTTTGCTCCTCTAGGGCGACTACAACCAGAGTCGAACCAAAGTGCTGCACCTGAGTCTGAACCCGGCCAGCATGGCCAGGCAGCGCCAGCGTGAGGACCATGAGCGGCTGCAGGGGGAGTGCGAGCGACTTCGGGGGCTCGTGCACGCCCTGGAGAGAGGGGGTCCCATCCCTGCTGACCTGGAGGCTGCCTCCAGCCTGCCCTCATCCAAGGAGGTGGCAGGTAGGTGAAATTGCCCAGCCCATGGGACCTCCGGGCGGCATGGAGGGACAGAGCCCGCTGGCCCTTGCAGCCAACCGAGAGGTACTGCTGCCCTGCAGGCTTCACAAACAGGGTTAGTCATCCAAGTTTGCAAGCAGCTAAGATTGTCTCAGACCCCCCAAAACAAATTAATACCATTTATCAGTTTATATGTGGCCCATTAATCATGAGTAAATCCAATCCTCTGAGAAAACAGGGCCATCGTTCACTGGCCTAAGCACGCGTCACAGAGCCCAGGGCCCTTTGCAGCCAGGCCCCAGATTCTAGGGAAGAACAAGACTGGGGGAGGCAGAGCCACTCACCACCCTGTCCAGTCAGTAAATCAGGATAACAACCATCAGAGCGTGTGCCTGTCACCCCTGACGCATTATAGTGGCCACTGGCATCAGTCGCTGAGCCTCGGTGAGCATGTCCGCCATGAGGTCCTGCCCCCGCTGCTTTGCTCTGGAGCTGTGCAGGGCACACGTGTGGGTACAAGGGAGGGGATTGCACTAGGTCTGAGTGGGGAGGGAACTGGGGCAAGAGAATGCTGGGAGCAGGTTCTGCAGCAGCCCTGCCTGACCTGAGGCCACTCTTGTCTCCTTCCCTTTGGAGCACTTGAGGCCACCCGTGCTGGGATGTGGCTGCCGGCCACTGTTGTCTTGGGGTTCATGTCTTTCTCTGGTTCTCAACTACTTTTCATCCTGTGAAGCACCCCTGTTTCCTTCCCTTGTATCTGTCATCTGGTCCTGTGGATGTACTTGGCATTTGCAGTGAGTCCTTGATCCAGGGAGGGTGGGACTGTCATCAGAGAGCCCTTCCTGCAGCGGGGATCTCAGGATGGAGTGGCAGAGGCAGATCCTGCCCTCTTCATCCCTGCATTTCTGTTCTGGCTCCCTTGTGCTTGTTGCATCAGCCCTGGGCCTTCATGGAGAGAGCTCCTGAAGACTGTCACACGGAACCTGGGGATCCTAGGCTGATTGAAGGCATGTATCAGGGGCCTGGTGCCCCGAGGACCCAACGTCTCAGTGAGAATGGCTGGTGCAGCCTTCCTTCTGTCTTGCCAGGCTGAGGTGCCCTGAGAAGCAGCCAGTACCTTGAGGCTTTACACGGAGAGTCCGGTATAGGGTAGGCACCCCAGATGATGTGTTATTACCCATGGTCCTGTTCCCTGGCTAAAGGGACACCTGCCAGCTTTGGTGCTGTGCTCTGACAGACCTCCAGGTCGGCAGTGTCCTTTGTGAGTCGGTGGTTCCTATGTAGGGGTCAGCTGTAAGGGGCAAATGGTATAGCTCAGCACCCTGTGTCTCTTGGCAGCTTAGAAGACCATGTTGGCCTTCGTTATTTCTCTTCTCAGGAGCAGCAGCTGATAGGGTGTGCATGGAGAGCATATCCTTGCCCTTTCACTTCCACCCTTCCCTCGTGTCAGGTTTTCAGAATCAAAGAACTTAACACTGACCCTCTTACATTCTGCGTGTCTGTTCTGCACAACAGAGCCTACAGACATGGAAAACAGCCCGATCTAGAGCCTAGTTCTCTAGGGTCTCAGGCTACTCACGCTCTCCATAGGGCAGAAGGAAGCCCTAGCAGCTCCAGGCTTACAGGCAACAGCCTCCACTGCTGAGCTCTCCACTTCGCCAACACTTGCGGCCAGACGGAGACCTCTGCAGCAGATGGACCTGCCTGTCACTGGCTCCCAGCAGCTTGAGCCCAGTGGGGCTCTTTAGGGAAACAGTTCCTCCTGAAGAAGCTGACCCTGTGTACAGGGACCAAAACCCAGCCTCGAAATGCTGCCCAGGCTCAGTGTGTATGGCCCTCTGCTGTCTCTGGCCCCTGCCAGTGAGCTGGTTAATTGCAGTTTAATTAGGCATGCATTAAAATTAAAACAATTTAATCTTGTCAGAGTGACACATTGGAGGTGATCAAATTTATCACTGCTTGACTGGGCGCAGCGGTTCTCCGAGGTGTCTCTGGGGAAGAGAGCAAGGGAGCTAGTTGGCTTGTGGGGAATTCTCCTGTATCTCAGCTTTTGCCCCAAAAATGAGGGCACTCTCCAGGGCCTAGTTTGGGGCTTTGGGAGGGGGAGGTGGCAAGGATTAGCTCAGGTTCTTTCTATATAGCTCAGGCTGACCTTGAACTCTCCATTCTCCTGCTTCAGCCTCCTGAGTGCTGGGATTAAAAGCATGCACTCTTATGCTTGACTGAGGTTGACGCTTAAGCATTTGACCCTTGACCCTAGCCTGAGACACCATGGTCTACACTCTTGTTAGACATGTGACTTCAGGACTGCTGCTGCTCCAGCCTTGACTCACATGTTCCCATGCCCTGGCTCTGGGATCTAGGTCAGTTGGAGTGGCGAGGGAGACTCAGGGATGCCCCAGTGCCCTCAGAGCTGAGATCAGCTTGGTGGCTTCGCTTGCTACAGGCCAGTCACAGGCCCTGTTCCCTTGGGGAGGGCTGCATCTCCCAGACTTCAGTCTACTCAGAAGTAACTAGGGGTGCAAGGGTGGACGGAGCAAGATTTAGATGCAAAAGGAGGTACTTTGTCTCAGGTGTCCCCACACAGCTCTTCTTGTTCGGGGAAAATGTCAGCTATTCTCTGAGCCCCTGAATCACAGCGCTGCAGGTCTATAGAATGATGCAGAATCCCCAGTGCAGCCCCTATCCCCCAGCGCCCTTTCCCATGCAGAACAGGCAAGTATCGTTGATGTATACAGTCTATGTGGCAGAGGCAGAGACACAGGAGGACCATATTAAAACAAAACAAAACAAAACAAAAAAACCTGACAGTGTTATAAAAATAAAAGTATTAGTTTTCAACAAGTCCCAAGAATACTTGGTATGCTGTAGAAACTATGAAATTCAGAGCTTAGTGCCACAAATAAAGTTTTATTGAAATATGGCCACTCTGTTGTTAGGAATGTCCAAGAAGCTGAGTTAAGCTCCAGAGACTAGAAGATTTAGTTGTCTTCCTAGAATCCCCCAGTGAGGGGCTGGGGAGTGGTAGAGTACCTGCCTAGAATCCCCCAGTGAGGGGCTAGTTACTTCTGAGCAGGCTGAGGCCTGGGGGGCGCAGCCCTTCCCAAGGAAACAGGGCCTGTGACTGGCCTGTAGCAAGTGAAGCCACCAAGCTGATCTGGGAGTGTGACTGACCTAGTGATACAGTGTGTGTCTAGCAGTGGTTGAAGGCCCTCTGTTCCAGCCCCAGTACTTGGAGGTCGGGGGGATTTCTTCATTAAAAATAATGAAATGGATGAGCCTCAAGTTTAACCTTTCTAAACAATATCATCTCTCCTTAAAAACAACCTTAACGGTACGCTCTGACACAAACACTGTAAGGGATGAAGTTATCAGTTGACAGCTCTGACAAGAGAAGCTAAAGCTCTCTCCCTTCTCATTAGTCAAGAAGCACATTCACCGGAGATGCTGTGCTAGCTTGTTTTTTTTAGGGCTCGTAGCAGTTTGAGCTGTACAGATCTGTGTGTGTGTGACAGCCTCGGTCAAGACTGTCAGCACGTCCCTCACCAGTATGAGTCATGCTCCACCCCTGGTCCAAGTGTCCACCCCCAGGCCCAAGGCCCATAGCCTGCTCTGTCACTTCCTATGTCTAGAGCTGTGTCTCCAGCTTGGCGCTCAGCTTCCAGCATGTCCTGTTACCCTTGTACTATGGGCTGATGGCATTTAGGGGGAGTGAACAGGAATAGTGCCATTACATTTCAGATTTGGGCTGCTCGTGGCTGTGGTTAATTATGCATATTCGTACTTGTTCGTGTGTAGTCAGCCCAGCGCAGACACGGGGAACAATGCCAGCCTCCTGGGGATTTCAGGGAGACCTGCGGAAGGAGCCTAGGACAGCCGTACACTTTGAGAGCACGGCTGGAGCTTGACCCAGCCCGGCCCAGGGCACGCCATAACTACGAATCCAGCATCAGAAGGCCCAAGAAACATGGTGAGACCTAAGGCTGGCATGCTGGAAGGCGCTCTGGCTGCTGCTCAACCCCCAGATACCAACATTCTGTACAGAACCTGAAAAGACCTCAGATCTCCTCACATGCTGATAACATGTATGAAGGGCTTGCAAGGAGCCACGAAAATAGACCACCAAGACCATGGCCATATGGAAGAGGCCCAAAGTGACCAGCATCCTGAAGTCCACAGCGATGCAAGCAGTCAGGGGCTGGGACCACAGGCCTCTCTGTAGTCACGCCCCTGCCAGGGTGCTTTGTAAAGCAGCAGAAACGAAAGTGGGCCAACTGTTAAGTGGTCGGAATCTCCTCAGGGAAAAAGCAAAACGCTGCCGGCTTCTGATCCGTACTTGGAATTAGAAGTAATTGCTGGGCCTGCTGCGGTGGTTCTCACCTATAGTCCCATCACTTGGAGCCCCAAGTTACAGGACACCCCGAGCTACAGAGTGAAATCAAACAAAAGAGGAGAAAAGGAAAGAAAAAGAAGAAACTCATAATTACCACAAGTAGGTAAATGGATAAAAAGAGACAAACAAACCCTGAGCCAGGATCTCTTTTGTACAAGAAGTTAACGCACACATACTGAACGGCGAGCCCGTGGGGACCATCTGACAGCTGTCACTAGGACAACTCTTCAGTGGTATGGACAAAGACAGCATTAGACCCTGACCTGAGCCACACACTGAAGAGATACGGAGCGTCTGCAGCTTCAAACAGAATCACCCAGAGCAGCCTCGAACAGAATAGGACTGTTTATCCGCTCACTGGGGAACTTTTGAAGCCTGAGCCAAGCTTGTGGGAGTAGGCTGTCACCACAGCTACTTGGGAGGCAGAAGCAGGGGGAGCTCAAGTTGAAGGCCAGCCTGGGCAACTTCGTGAGACACCATCTCCCTAAGCTGTGCTCCTACAGCAAGATGGGGACTGGAGACAGGAGACTTGGGAAGCTTGCTAGCCTGGGTCCTCATTGGTGAGCAGAGGTTCCTTCCCTCAGACAAGGTGCAAGGCAGGGACTGGCCC